TCGAGAAGGGATGAGGATTAGGGTATACAAGCTAAGAGAGCCAGATATTGAGGCTAGGTACCAGGAGCCTATAGTGAAATCAATAGGAACTGAAGAAGAACTATCAGAGGACACTGAAACCTCTGGTGTAGATTCAAGAATATCCTCACAGCAGCTGCAGTAGAAGCATGTTGTGAAGTCCCAAGTGGAAGGTGGGGACAAAGGACACCTTGGTGGACAGAAAAAGTCAAATTGAAAATAGGAGAAAAGAAAAGGGCATGGAAGCAATACCTGGTAGCCAGGAACATAGCTGGTGAAATAGAAAAAAATAAACATTATGTGGCACTCAGAACAGAGGCCAAAAATATAGTGCTTAAAGCAAAACAGAAATCATGGGAAGAGTTTAGAGAAAAGTTAGAAAAGAATGCAAGAGAAAATCAAAAACGGTTCTACAAGACCCTCAAAAGCACGAGGAAGAAGAAAGTGCCCACTGAAATTAATAAAAGAGTGAGATGCACCTATGTTTTTTGGATCTAGAAAAGTCATTTGATAAGGTATCATGGAACAAGCTCTGGGACTGCCTGGCAGGGAAAACAATCCCAGTACCCCTGATCAGTGCAATACAGAGTTTCTTCAAAAGCTGCAGAAATTATGTAAGAATGGCAGACCAAAAGTCAGATGAATTTAAGACCACTGGCGGTGTTAGACGAGGTAACATTCTTTCACCTTACTTCTTCATTCTTATGATGGATGATGTCATCAAGACCTATAAGGAAACCATGGTGATCTCAAGAGAGGAGAAGAAACATCAGATCATGATGGGACAGTATGCATTGGAGCAGGTCAACCAGTTCAAATACATCAAAGTTGTATTAGACTGAAATGAAGGCATTATGACCGAGCTGGCTACGCAAAAACCAGCCATTAGGAGACTCATCCAGGCCATAAACTAAGGGTTTCTTAGCAAAAGAGAAATTGGCAAGAGGACGAAAATGGCTGTTTACCGCTCTACTTATGTACCAATCTCGACCTATGGGTGTGAGTCATGGGCAATGGTAACAGCTTACAGAAGCCAGCCTCAGGCCACATAAATGAGATATCTGAGAGAGGTGATCCAAGTGACAAGAAGGGACAAAGTCCGCAATAAGAAAATACGTCAAGATCTTGATACCCAGTCCTTACAAACCCGAGTGGATCAGTCACAGTTACGATGGTTTGGACATGTATACAGAATGGGAGAAAATGGGCCACCTTGGCAGGCATGGAAGGCTAAGAACCAGGGAACCAGACCTCCATTGCGACCCAAGGTGCACTGGGAAGACAACATCCGACAGTCCCTGACAGAGGACTGGAAAAAAGCCAGAAAGAGACATCTGGCGATCTCTCTGGCAAACCTCTACACCCCAAAATAGAAGAGGAGAGACTAAGTAAGTAAGTATTTAGGTATGTACACTAATTGTTTCTCGTTGGGGAATATTTCGCTGAGTAGTCTAGGCTGGCCTGGTGTTTCCTGTCTGGGCCTGAACAGTAAATAACCGTGGCGGTTAGCTGTTGCATCTTTAAAGCTTCGGATGTAGGAATCATAGACGGGATACATATGTTTGGCCAAGTTAGTAATCTGTGAGCCGTCACAAGGGTTTTTTTGAAAACTACCAGGTTATGTGCTTTCAGACTGATTGTTCTTTATTTTTTATTATTTCCAAACAGGTTTTGCACAATATAAATAATGGTGATCTTGCAATGGTGACTGCCTTTAGTAAACAGCTTGGTGAATCTGTCATCTGTCTCGGATATAAAATCGTCTATATCAACTAGAAGTCACTTATCCCTGCACCACTGTTTCATTTCTGGAAGGCCTTCATTAAAGATGACACCCAAATGTTGTAATACAGTGGTTGCCATTCCCATAGCACCAAATTATCTTCTTCAGTACCAGGTCGACCATATCGCCAAGATGTTTTAAAAGCTTTAGCACAAATACAGTTTTACCAGTTCCACTAGGTCCATACTAAATAATTATATAGTCCATTTCTAACAGCTAGTTTTGTCATGTTAAACGAATATTATGCTTTTTTAAAACTGTTTAGTGTTATATAATACCTAAGAAAACACCCATATGATGTTTTTTGCAGACATCAGAGGGAGTGTCAGACACCTTTTATAGGTGTGACACAAGTACAATTGTTATTTGTGCCAGGTGTACCCACACTTCCATGAACATGTAAACGCTGATGACCTTGTTCCAGTTCTTAAATAATGTTTATTTAAGAAACTCTTGATAACTGCAAAGTTAGTATGTTTATTTAAGAACTCATGATAATTGCAAAGTTAGTATGGCTTCCGCACAACGTTATCGACTACTGAGTAGCCACAGATTTTATTCTTATGGTTCATAAGCACACTAATCTCAGGTAGTCACTGGCTAAATACATCAACAGTACGCTGGTATAGCTGATCACAAACTCATCCTCGCAATATGAACAAAGTCATAAGAGGCTAGCTGATGCCTCTATAGCAATAATTACGTATTCTCCTAACTACCACACTTAACTTTATAATCCGGCTATACAACAGAAACACACGTCACCAGTATGAATAACCACTACTGTTCTGTTCACAGTTTTAAATCCAGTCCATTCCAAGCGAAACACAATTCCCACCTTTTAAAAGGGCCCCAAACAAACACATCCGTTCACTGGACTGTCCAACTACTAACTGCCGTGTGTCACTCTACCTGTTTGTCCAGTCCCCCTGTAACCTCCCCACTCAGTTACCTGTTTTGCCGTGCGGCTCTACACACAACCCATCTGACCAGTAATTGACCTGTCTGCTGTTATGAGTCAGTCTAGTCATTGTTTGTCTTTATCTCTCAGTGTGTGGTAAGGTTGACTCATGACAGGGAGGATAACTGCAGAGCCATTAAATTGTCCTCCATATTTCAAGGCATTCCCAGTGTTAATCCTATTGACCAAAAGGTCGCAAAAAAGGAGAAGAAAGGTTATAGAACAGGCAGGTACAAGCCATGGAGCTAAGGTTAGTGCAACTCACAGCAGCTAACAGTAAAGGGGCAATCGGTATAAATATGGCAATATTGGCAGAAATTATAATGTTTTGAAATATGCAAAGGAAGAAAAAATATTACATTGTTTTGTTTTGTGGTAGTGGAGAAGGGGGAACATGTAGTGAAACCATGATGATAGAAAAATAGCAGGTAAAAGATTCAGATTTTACAGTAAAAAGTGGATACTTATGTATAGTAATGAGATGATGTAGAATATAGATTAGGGCAACCCAAGGAATTGTGACAGTATCTGCCTATATGGCAGCCGGTTTGGTCGCAGCCATGTCTAATGACCATTGACACAGTCTGCTTTTCTGCAACACCATATGAGGCAACCTTTGATGATGAACATTAAGCCATTATTCAATGATAGATTAAGCTCTTTAATTGTAAAAGATCTTGCAGACAGGACATCCAGCAACGTAACAATAAATTTACATACAGTTTGTTAGTTGTCCCTCTGGAAGTTATAATGCCATAACGAAAATCACCAATGTTATAACAAAAATGCCCACAAAATGACAACCTATCACAATACTGGACTAGTAGTGTGAAAAGCCCCTTTATCAAAAAGCTTAATAAATGATAAGAAAAAGGTATGCCCGTCCCATCTGATATGATTTCTCAGTAAGCATGTCGTAAAAGTGCTGGAGTGTAGGTTGGTCAACCCTGTTTCTTATCGAATCTTCCTTTCTAACTGCTATAGTTTCCCTTATAAGGTGTACAACATCTTTCCTCAAAATGTCTATCATCGAGGCATGTGCCACTGGCCTGGTTCAACCTCAGAATAACATCTGGTATCGACTGAGTACTTCTCAAAGTATGTGCCATGTTTTTAAAGATTTGGGCCAATCTCATCATGTAAAGGGTCCCCAGGGGTATCACATGACTAGCTTCTACCAATTTTATTGCAGAACTGTTTATCAATCCCACAACATTCTTGACACTTTAGCCTCAACCTGCATTTCATAAGTGGGAGATGATTTATATCGCAGTTATAGGTGCAAGCTGATTTATGTCAAGAATTCCAACGTGTTTTCCTGTGTCGGGGACAACTTGTCCCTGTCCCTGAGACCGGTCCTCTTGCAAAACTATGCGACAGTCGCATATTTGGTACAGGTGGCTGTGACCTACTGATATGTGTCCTAATTTCTCAATAAAAAGTGCTTGTCTCATATTTTAAACATCCTATTTTAAACAAACGCGTCCTTGCCAAACATCTGCATTTGGTGGCCTTTGTTAAAGTACAGCATCTGCATTCATTAGGGGAGAGGATCAAATCGTACAACAGGATTTCAACTGCATTTCCTGTGGAGTATTACAGAAGCAGTTTTAATGTATTCTACACACAGGCCCATTTAATGGGTACGGCTGAAGTCACTCCATCTCTATTAAAGAATACTTCAGAGTAACAAGCTAATGAAAAAACTTTGTTTCAAAGGGGTTACAAAGGAAAGAGAAGATTGAGAAATGAATGAATCCTGTGGGAAGAGTGAATTTATAAGCAAACGTAATTGAATAAGTAAGCAAAAAGATGGACAAGATGGAAGGAGAAAATGTGGATCACCCACTGGACTGGATCCAAAGTGTAAAGGTTGTGAGATTTGCTGATTCAAGATTTGTATGAAGTTGTGGTTCACATTAGTGCCCATTCATGAAGCTATGTCAACTGTGTGCCTGACAGTGAATATGCTAGAACAGAATACCAGCGGTGTGCTGCTGTAACTGATGAGTGAGTGCTGTCAATGATTCGCAGATAGTAACTATTTAGTGCTTTTCTTGGATGACCGCATGACAAGAGATGAAGAGACAGGTGTCAGTTGAAGCATAACGAAATGTCCTTAAAAAACTGTAAACATCAAAAAATGGCTATTGCACAATTCTTGGAGGATGTGTAGTGTGAGAAGTGTCTCTTTCGTCTGGCTTGTTGTTCCTAGATACTATCAGTAAACATTAGTTACTAGTCACTTTCATCACTGGAATCTGAGGGGGTCGACTCATAGTGATCGTGATGATCATAAAGATAAGAATCATCACCCTGATAATAATAATCATCCTCTGAATCAGCCTCAGTCAGATTGTTAGACTCTGAGAGTATTTCTCCTAGCGCAGTATCTTCAACAGCCACAGCCTTAAACAGAAGTCTGTCTTTCATCATTTGAGGCAGTGGAAGTGAATCCACTCTTGTATCACGTCCAGGGGATGACCCTACAGCTGTGGATATCACGACCAGGCACAGCTTGACCAGGGACATGGGCTGGGAGCATAGTTCTTGAAGGAAGCTCAATGACTCAATTAGACTAAGTTTTTGAAGCAAATTCGCTATGGCCTTGTTAGATGCAAACATGGACATGTCAGAGCTTGTCAAAAATAAAATATCCACAAAATATCGGGCAAGATAAACATGACCAAGCAACAATGCAACAAGGAGCGGTGTCACCAATGGCTGGCAACAAAAGGTCCGGACACTAGAAGCTGTTTTGTATACCTCAATGTTTGCAGGTCCCAATCCATGCTGGATAAGCTTAGGGATCAAATTAGTTTGATTAGCAATGATTAATTCGTGAAAACATTCAACCCTGAGATAAGAACAATTGGCACCCCTATTCATTAATGTTTCAATGATTAATACTACTTTGTAATTAAAGTCTAGCAGAAATGAAAGTGCTGTTTCTGATGTGTCTCTCTTACTGACAGAGTTGACATCGGCCCCAGCATCCAGCAACAATAACACCACAGAGGGCTTAGTCTTCTTAGCAGCCAGCATTAAGGGAGACAAGCCACAATTGTTCTGACAGTTGACATGGCTCCCAGCTTCCAGTAAAGAAGTTAAGATCTCTTCTCTTTTCCATGGACAGGTAATCAGTAGATGATGCAAGGCTGTATTTTCTGCCTTATCCTTCATATTTACATCAGCACCCTTTCCTATCAGCTCTTTCACACATAGAACATTATTTTTCTGGACAGAAAGTATAAGAGGTGTTAATCCTTCATTGTTCTGAGTGTTGATGAGACCTTTCTTGTCTCTAGTGGAGTCTATCAAACAAGTCACATTCTTATAATTCTGGCTCATGACAGCATTCATGAGGACAGTATTGCCTTTGTGATCACTGTCGTTAATATCTGCGCCATTCTCTAACAACATTTGTAGACAGCTCACACAATCTTTTAGAGAAGCTGCCACCATTAAAGGTGTTTTACCTTCTCTACTTCTACGGTTGACTGCAGCTCCGTTGTCTATCAAAACTTTACACACCTCAACTGTAGATGCATCAACAAGTTCTCTATGGTTAATCACGTGACTCAATGCTGTCTCAATGCTTTTCCTGTCTGCTGTTTCTCTGTTGACATCAGCTCCTCTCTGGATAAGAAACTCGGCAACTTCTCCGTTTTTTGACATCATTAATGGTGTGTATCCAGATGAGTCTGCATCATTGACATCAACACCAGCATCCAAAATCTTACCAATGATTTCACAGTTACCTACCTTGGCCGCCAACGGTAGCAACTCCATAGCTTCTGTATCTTTTTGTGAAAAATAATCCATAACTTCGCTGTAATTCTTAAAAAGGAAGAGAAGGTATTTTGGCCTCTGTTTGTTTACTGCAGAGGTCAAAGCCTCTCTAACATTCATTCTAGCCCCACTCTGGATTAGCAGACTGGCACACTCAGTGTGATCATTTTTGAGAGCACAGTCAAGTGCTGAGTTAACAAAACCATAGGAGCTCAGATTAGCTTTATATTTAAGCAAAAGTTCAATGAGATCTCGGCGACCATTTTCTGCCGCTATACACACTGGATCTTGATAGCTTGGGTAGTAAGTTTTCAGATCGGCACCATGTGTGCACAGCAGCTCAACCAACTGCAGATCTCCTGACTCTGCGGCAACATAAATCAGTCTTGGTCCATTATGTGGATTGACATCGGCCTCATACTGCAGTAATTTCTGAATGATTTGAACATCAGTTGAACTAAATCTTTCTCCACTTTTATGTTGATGGTTTTTAAACACATACTTCAAGGCGCTATCAATTAATCTTTTCTTCTCTTCCATAGAGGAAAACTGACAATCAACAAAAATATCAAAAGATTTTTTATCACCAGCCTTAATAGCGAGTTCTAGCAGTGAGGTCTGATTAGTTAAATGATCTTGAAGAATTCCATACATGGATCTGAATCCAGTTCTTTCAACTGCAAACTGTTCTATAATTTCCTGAGATCTGCTACTTAAGAAGCTGAAATCTATTTTTTGTTTGATTTTAATTTTGCCACATTTCTGGAAAGTATTACTAATGCTTTTCTCTAATATCAGTTTCAATGTATCCACATCCATGAAGTGGGCTGCCCTGGTGAGAGCTGTGTGTCCGTTTTGGTTCTCATGATGGATGACAACATCTTGTTGTTCCAAAAGAAACCTGGTCAAGTCGGTAGACCCCGCTGAACGTACAGAGAGAATCAAGGCTGTGTTACCTACAGAATTCACAGCGTTGACATTTGCATGTCTAGAAACTAAAAACTGGACAATGTTCGTGAAACCAATTTCAGCACAAATCAACAAGGGCCTGTTTCCATGTTCATCCCTGTGTTCAATGTTTGCCCCAGCCCGGACAAGTGTCTGAACAAGTTGTTTATGTCCTTGTCTGCAGGCAAAGATTAGAGCTTGGTTGAGTGTCTCCGGTGTGAAAGAGTTCTCTGATGTAAGTAGCACCATGGCTTCACGTGAAGTTTCAGAATTTATGGTATCCAATAGTTGTCCATCACAAGATGGCGGAGAACAATGAATTAGATCAGAAGAAGAATTGCCAGCCCTTTCTGCCATGTTAGACTTTTTTTTCTTTCCTGTGTTAACCAAATAACTGACTCCTAAAGTGCAGCTCATTTCAGGTGACAGTGCCCCAGATAAAGTGGGAGTTAGTGGTTCAGTTGTAACCACAGCATGGCTTGGGAAAGGTATCAATTTACCAGAACTACGAAGGACTCTGGAATGTGAAATTTTATTTTCAGTTGACTCACAAGGTATGTCTGTTGAACCAGCCAGTCTGCGTTTCTTGTTTCTCATTTTTCCTGACATTGTCCAACAGCTGTAATAATATATAAAAATGGTGGTGATCATATGGTTACTATTGTTTACACAAAGGAATAAAAATATAAATGAGATTAAAGCATGAACATGCAAAACTGAATGCAAACTTTTTACATTCAGTGAATGTCACGCAACAGGCGATACTCAGTTTTCAAATATCTGCAGAATTGTCCATGTCATATAAGGCAATTCTCTTGTTTCCACCTCTCTTTCTCTCTCTCACTCTCTCTGTGAATTAGGGGATATAACTGCCCTTTGGAGTGAATTCTGGACCTAATTTAAGAAAATTTTGTTTCAATTCTTCCTCAGTCAAAGGTTCTTCTTCTCTTGCCATTTCACACTGATACCAAGTTGTAGCCCACTGTCATAGTTTATCTGTATTTATCTTGTGCTTCTTGGGTGGTGCATTTGTTCATAATTTTCAGTGTGCAGGCTTTAGCTACACCATTTGTCCATCTCTTTCTTGGTTGTTTCCTTATCTTTCTCCCAGATGTTCTGCTATAAATAGACTCAAATGTAGTTTGGCCTGACTGCATTCTAAACAGGTAGCCAAACAATTTCATTCTTTGTCTGTCAATATAATTCAGTTGCATTCTTATTCCGACTTTCTCTTGTCCCTTCTTGTATTGTTAGTGAGCTCACAGGGACAGCACATTTCACATATAGCTATTTTCTGTTTTAGTGCCCTATTCACTGTCCACATGTGGCCCTGGTAGCATGAAGTAAGGATGAAGATGCTGTCAATCATTTGTAATCAATGCAAAGTGATAGAGGGATCTCTGACAATGTTTTGCTGAAAGGGAGACATACAGGTGTTTAAGCAATGGGGCTAGCTGGTATGTGACAGGGATTGCCTTACGTTGTAAGAGAAATGCTAGGCCTCACTCCTCCATTACTACCCTTTACTACTGTTGCTTTCTAACTGGAAATTATCTTAGTGCTAAGCAGAAGTAAATCTGAGTTGAACACACACATGTAATCCACATACACATGATATGACATGTGTGTACACTTTAAGTTAACATAAACAAACTGAAAAAGATGGTTATGGTTAAAAAAAATAGCTAAGAATGTTGAGGATAGGTTTAGTTTTTAACATGCCATCCGATATTATAGTTTCATAATAATCATCCTGTAAGAAGTGTGTTGATGGACATTACTTTGATCATAATCTACCAGAACACCTTTATTCTTTGCTTGTTCATTTGCCTTAGGCATCTTCCTGCTCATGGGGCCTTTAATGTCTGTGTCTACTGTCTTTATCCACAGTTGTCTGTTTTTAAGGAAACTGAACCTATTTCCATTACCCGATACCATTTATTAGCTGGTTTTTGACGTAGTAGTCATTTAATGTAATGTCAGAAAGGCCTGGTATCAGCAACATCAGAGAAGATTGTGGATGTAGAAAAGTCCTAACAGACAGGAATCAGACCGGTTATATCCTCATCTGTCAAAGATGTTGAAACTGCTTCTGATTGAGTGAAACTTTATGTGCAATAGGCTGGATGCTGTGCCAATTGTGATGTAGGTGGGTTGAGGTTAGGGCTAGTTCTAGATGTTTTGGGGTCGTTTAAAGTACTCATGTTGCGAAATATAGAATACCGATATCGCTGGCAGCTAACAGCAACCAATAAAAGGCAACGTAATTCTAGGTGTATATTGCTGAGTTCACGAATTGACACTAAGAATAATTTTACATGTTACTAGATCTAGAGAGATGTTTGAACACTGTAACTGGTGCTAATTTAAGGAAATTTATGGCACAGATTGATCAGAGGCCGCAGGAAGAAATGTGCGAAAACCTTGGCAATGCCTTGAAAGAAACACAGAAAGCTGGGAAACCCGGTCTACCATCCTCTCAAATATTGGACTGTCCCGTGACATCATTTGTGGTCGGCTATTGAGAAAGAACCAGATGTAACATTAGCATTATTCTGTCTTATGATAAATCAACACCTCACACACAACCCCATGTTCTAGTGAAGAACTGTTTAATCATTCCCTGTAGTCAAGGCCGTATTTAGGATATGTGACGCCCCTGTGCAGTCATTTATTTTACACCCTATTTTTCCTCGGCTACACTTTAGTAGCCTCTCTAGTGTTAAAAGACTATCAACAAGTTGTGGAAATATTTACTTCAGTTTTAAACTGTACCGAGGTATTATGTAAACTAACAACAATTAAAACAAATATGCAGGTTCAGTTCCAAATGGAGCAATGATGACAAATCCAAGGTAAAACTTTCATAATAAAAGTAACAAAGACATTCACATTTTTTTTTAAACTACTTATTATATGTTGTTCTCAGAATTTTGCTATGCTGTGCAGCCGCACGATATTTATTTATTTATCTTCTATGTGAGTGATATTCTAAAGATTACTTTTAAGTCCTTATCAATCAGCAAGTCCTTTACAGAACGTCGCTCTCTTCACGGTACGCCTAAAAGTATCCCTTTCTCTAGCCAGCTCTCCGGCCCCATACACTTTCAATGCCAATGCATTTTGAATGTCTTGTATCCATCTTCGCGGTGGTCGACCCCTGCCTCGCCTTCCACAAACTGCACCTTCCATCACCATCTTTTCCAAGTGCCTATGACACTTGCTATGGCCAAAATACTTCAACTTTCAGGACAGGATGCTGTTTATGAGCCAGTTCTCCTTGATGTTCAACTCGTTCAGAATGTCAACATTTTTCCTCTTCCTGATCCATGATATTCTAAGAATTTTTCTATAACATTTCAATTCAAAAGCTCCAATCTTTTTCTTTTACTCAGTGACAGGCAACCATAAGTTGCCACAGGAAAAATGCAAAATCTCAAGATTTTTACTTTGAGTCCATTACAATAAAATGACTTCAACTTTCTCAGTTTACAAAATCATTGTAATATAGCAGGGCTCTTCAACTGGCGGCCCATGAGCCAGCAAAGGCCCAGGAGGAGACCCGCAGGCTAGCGGAAGCCCATGAACCAGTGAAGGCCTACAGGCCAGGGAAGGCCCAGCAGGAGGCCCACAGGTAACGGAGGCCCGGAAATCAGTGCCAGCTGTACTGTCAATGTTCTGTCTAGACTGGGGCAAGGAACTGTGGTCCGTGATGATCCGCATGTTGGGCGCGTGGGTAAACTTAGCTGAACAGCTGTGTTGTATAATATATGTACAGCTGACAGCTAAACACGACTGCAATGTACATCCACCCAGCAAACTAAGAAACAGGGATGTAGCTGAGGTATTTGGCGCCCACGGCGGGAAGAGGGGGTGAGGGGGTCAGACATTGTTCAACCTTTGCATCAGCCACTGCTCAATTTCTGGACTACTTTTGAAGACACTGTAGTTCACAATTCGGAAGTCTGTCTGATTCTTTTGCAAGTAAAATTCAAAGTAAAGTGAAATGTACCGGGTGTTATACTTTTAAAGCGTGCAAATTTGGGCAATGTAAACTCAAGAGTGTTGTGAATAACTACTGAAATAATAATTATCTCAGCAGTGCAAATTCCAGAGATATGTTTTTAATGGTCAAGGAATCTAAATCTGTAACACACAAATCAGTTTCTGCAACCAGCACAGCACACAGGTTTAAAAAAATGTACTTACAAAAGACTTCTCAGTACATTAAACTATTTTTGTTAAAAATATATATATTAAACAAAAAGGTTTCTTATATTTAACTCTGTGAGTTCATATTAGTAATAATAAATTATGTTAATTTTTTTTTTAAATCAAATTCGCAGGTTAACAAATCATGACACCAAATTAAAACTACAAATACTTGTTTTCTTGCTTCTACTAGTGCGGACTGGGTCTATTATGTGATTACAATCAGTTTTCTCAGTTTCTACTCTTTCTACGCTGAGTTGAGCAAGATCACAGAGTGTGTCTTTAAAAAACAATCAAGAATGATTTGTATTTTATTGAAAGATCTTTCGCAGCTTGCAACGCAAACTTCATTGATTACCATTATCTGAATAGAAACGTGTAGATTAGAAAGACATTCTTATCTCCATACTGAACAACGAACTTGAGAAGTTCTTCTTGTTGTCTTTAATTAATAAAGATAAAGAAAGACTTTATGTTGCTTCAATCGGACAGCATCATTCTGCAACGTCGTTAATTTCTTTTTTTAACGTCAGTTGTATTTTTTACGTTGCTCTCTTTTAACACAATAAATTAATTTAATGTTGATAAATATTTCATGAGCCTAAAAGATTTGTACCTCGGGTATGCAACTACTAACCAGTAGTCAGTAGTCAAGAAAGACCTTTGCTGTTTCTGTTTCAAAGAAGATCGTTTAACTGGGTTGTTTCTGTTTCAGACATTCACTGTGTGCCACTGCCAGCCAACTGCCAACCAGTGTTGACACTTTTTCTTTGACAAAAAACATCCAGAACTTAGTCAAAAATATCTAAAAACATCTACATTTGCGTGGGAAACATCTACAAAAACATCCAAATGGAAAAAGTCACAAATTACATAGCTATTGATATGACTTACCCTATAGAATCATGTCCTCGTCTTTACTGAAGTCTGCCTTTCAAGATCCTCAGGATAAACTTAGTGTCACAACCCTGTGAGTACAGTCAGTGGCGGAATGTACCACACCGTAAGGTGTGCGTGTTGAGGTGACACCCCAGGGTTGACACAAAGGTCAGGGCCGTGACTGGTCAAGTCCGTTCTGTGATTGCACAGCGAAACCAGCGCTCAGGATAAAGCAAGAAAGAGTGAACTGTGTTGTGGACAAATCCGCAACACGATTACGGCTTTTGGGACTGAGCTGGTGAACGGGGTCAAGAAACACGAGGGAGAGAGAACGGGACATTCGGTGTGCGTCGGTCAGGGAGAGAGGACGTCTAGCAAGACAGTGATATTATTAGAGTTAGGATATTTCTGTTAGTGACTGGATAGTTTATGTACGGTTTTCTGTTAGAATAGGATAGTTCTTGTGTAGAGTATTTATGTACATGTTATGTGAGAGAATGGCTAACCTTGGCACTCTG